GTAGGGGTTGCAGCTGATATTTCAGCTTCAGCTATAAACTCATTAGCTTCAGATTAATGCTGAAGCTGATCAAGTCAGTTTAATCATCTTGATAGCTGATAGTAAAAGAGAATAATACTCCATAAATATTTTATATAAAATATATTTTTATATAGGAATTTATTCAATGAAAATCTAAAATAGTGACAAAATTTAAACATACATGTAAATTTTAAATAAAATTTGCCAAAAGTTGTTGCTATTTATAAATGTTGCCATCAGAGCCTAGGCCTAGGACTTACAATATTAGGGGATCCAAATTATGTTTTTAGAAATTTGTTTAAAAAGTGGTGCCCAAAAATCTAATTCCGTTTTTAATTATCTTAAGGAGACCAACTATCTTTTGTTCAAAAAGATTACACTTTGCAAGTATTTTATAGGTAAAAAAAAAAGGAAGATAAAACGATAAAAAACTTTTTTTTTTTTTAAAAACATATTTTTCGTCAGAGTGGATTTTTTTTGCTAGATGAGGATGTTCGTCTAATAATGTAGCTGCATCCGAACATATTAAATTTCATATTAAATTTGACTGTTAAGACGGCATATAATGTTTTTACAGAAAGTTGCAACTTCTCACTGCTCCAATAATCATTCCTTAGTGAAAATACCTTTTCAACAGCAGCATTAGTGCCTGGACAACATAAAGAAATTTCTGTTAAAACTTTTAAATTTTTATGTGGGATATGTTCTACTCTAAAATGCCGAAAGATTTCTACCCATCTTTTTTCAAATTCTGTTTTCTCATTGTTCCATTTCTTCAATTTTTATTCATTTAAAAATAAATTTACTCTTCCAATTTCTTCAAAAAGAAAATTGTCATTAATAACAATATCTTTTACTTCCTTTATTACAAATTCGACTGCTGAAGAAACTTTTTTTCATTAAATTTTACTATTTATAAGGGTCCATTTAAAACAATTCAATGCTCTAAAGTTCATTATCCATTCTTATATATATTCATAGCAAAATTTATAAAATTTTTTAACTTTATAAATTGGAATCTTCCAAAGCGGTCAGTTTATAGGCTTTAATATAGCCTTTAATATTGTATATAGTAGTGTATGTATATATTTTTAAATTTAAATTTGTTTTTAATTTATTTTTTTATATTTTTCTGCAAAAAATTTTTTCTGTCACTTTATCCTTCTGAACTCATGTGATTAAGTTTTTGTTTTCTCTTACATATTTTCTCACTCATCTTATCTCATCCGTTCATTTTCTCTTTTTTTTTTTATTTTTCTTAGCGTTACTCTTTTATATTTTTGTGTTAATTCCAACTTTTTAAATAGTATTGTTCCTTATACTTCATTTTTTATTATTTGTATTAATGTAGTTTTCTTTCTTATTATTTTTTATTTTATTTGTTTATTTTATGAAGGTGTCGCTCCATTGACTTGTTTTTAATATGAGTGACACCGAACATAAATTTGTAAATTATAATTAAGTTTGTAATTTTTGATTTTATGGTTAATTAACCATAAGCGCATGCGTAGTATGTACAGTAAGGTTTTTGTTATCCTTTTATTTAATTAAATAAATGGATAAAAAACTTTGCTGTACATACTACGCATGTGTCAAGACTGTCAAGCATGGCGTACATTCTGCACATCAAAGATCAGCCTGGGGATAACATACACAAATGTTGGATCCATCTCTTTTTACAAATGTAATTTTGACGTTGTTAGAAAAAGAGGTCTGTAGTATCTATCTATCTCTCCAGGTATATAATATGGCCTCTCAATTGTGTTGAAAATGGCAGCCATATGTGCGTTCAAAATTTAAATCACTGTCAAACTTGTATCCCTGTCCTCTGACGTGCTGGAAACTTGCCCTGTCCTCTGACGTGCTGGAAACGGCAAGCAATATGTGCGCATGAAAATCAAACCACTGTCAAAATAATTTTAAATATTTAATTAATAAAATTGAAATGAAATAATATAAAAAAAATGTTTTAGAAATACAAATGAGTATAAAATTATACAAATGAGTACTTTCAGAGTACAGGATTTGAAAAAAGTACGGTTTGTAAAAAAGGAGTAAAAAAACTCAGTAAATGAGAATAGCAGGTCACCTTAATTGTCTACATAATTTTTTGGTAGATTTCAAAGTTCTTGCAAAAGTTAGTTTTATCTATGAAATTATTGAGTTTAAAATCAATCTTGCGGTTATCATATGTGATGCACCAGCTAGAGCATTTGTAAAGCGTATTAAAGGACACAATGGTTATAACTGATGTGAATGTTGTGCTTAGAAAGGAGAGTGGTGTGGCAAGATAATTCTCCTACATATTTCACTAATTTTAAGCACTGATTCAGATTTTTTGTCATTAAAAGCATTCTGAACATTTTAGTGGTGTGTTAAATTGAATTAAATTTTGACATGGTGACAAAGTTTCCTTTAGACTTTTTCCAGTTTCCAGCAAGTTTCCAGCACGTCAGAGGACAGGGATACAAGTTTGACAGTGATTTAAATTTTGAACGCACATATGGCTGCCATTTTCAACACAGGGAATGGTTTAGCCAAAAATCTATTCAATTTTTTAGATTTTTCAGTTGTAGTTCTACTTTCATAATGTTTCATTTTGTTGAAAAAATATGTTAATTTTGCTTTTCAGCTACTTATTTTTATATGTGAACTTTATTATAAGGATCAACTAGTGTACAATGTCCATTCGTTAGCATATATAGGAAATAATACAGTTAAATTTTAGGTACTTGATAGATGTCTCTCTTTCAAATACAAAACTTTTTTAGGTCAATTAAAAAGTGTTTGTCTAGGGGGCTCATTTGCAAATTTAGGGGCTCTTTTACAAATGTAAGGATTTTTTTTTAGGATTTTTATTTAGATTTTGTTTATCTATTGGAAAAGTTTTTAGGAATTTTAGGGCCCTTAAGACAGTTTAAGAAAGTTTTTTTTGGAATGGGGGACTTGTATCTAGTAGCCACGGCACTGTATATAAGGTAACTGTATACAATATATATCAAATTATATACAATATAAATAAAAAAATATATTTATTTGATAATTTTATATAATTTATTTATCAGTAACTAAAGGAATGTTATCAATTTATTATATGAATCATAAGCATGTGCTTATCTATTACAAGTACCTTTGATGGTGAAAATTACATTTTTTATCTGAAGAGAGTTGGGAGAAATGGTAAGAGTTTTATAACATTTTAAAATTAATGTATGTGTTACCAATAAAATTTAAAACTAACAGTTAAACTTAATTTTTTGCAGTTCATATTGAAACGAGATATTGTGTAAAGAGGTTTTCAAAGAAGTCGTTTTAACAACAATGGAAAAGCTTTCGATTTCCGAGATAAACGTGAAAGCATTTGATACATGATTAAAGAATCGTTTAAAAGTTTGCTTAATTTTGACAGTGTAAATTTAGTTACTATTTTTTTTGAAATAAACCAATCAATTTATATATAAATTTGCTTTTTCTGTAAATTTTAAACATTTAAACGTAGTTTTGCAAGATTTGCAATAAGTAAATTTCGTGGAACCCTCACGGGTACCCGGCGGGCATACCCATGTGGGCCCCAGAAGAAAACCGCGGCCATGATCCGGCGGGTTCCCGATGGGTTTCCCATATGGGTCCCATTTGCAAACCCAAATGGGTCCCTTACGGTATTAAAGTACGGGATTAGACTGGGACCCATACGGGATACCCGGCGGGCTAACCCATATGGGTCCCATATGGAAACCGCGGTCATGATCCGGCGGGATACCGTTGGTCTTCCCATACGGGACCCAGTTGACGACCCGTATGGGCCCCGTACGGTACCCGTATGTCAATGTTGGCTGGGAAAGTACCGTTAGTTGGATGCGAATTTCTCATGTTGGTTGCAGTTTTCTTGGGCAATCTTGTGCAAGTATAATGAAATTTTGGTTGCTTAAATGGGCACAACTTTTTGTAGAACAATTCGTTTTTTTTTAAATTTTCACCATTGTAATATTAATTTAAAGCTCTTTCTAATGATACATATTATTTATATATAAAAACAATTTGAAATATTTAGATACATTGATCGGTTATTAACCGTTATAAAACGGTTATTAACCGTTGTAAAACACGAAATCTAGCGCTATGTTTATTAAAATATATACGTGTTTTTTTTACAGTGAACATTTTAACAAAATAAACGTGTTAAAAAATCACATTTTAGCAAGAACAAACGGATTCTTTCGCATTATTAGCCATTTCAAGAAAAAATTTCATTTTTTCTCCGTTTGAGAAAAATATTCTAATACATTGTCATCCAGTCCGAACCTAACGAAGACACTGATCCGATGGCGATCACAAATAATACCGAATATGTACTATAACTTGGATTTTTAAGATCTTCACCGTTTTTACATTAACTATATCACTTATATTCTTTATATTTTTGTATCTGAAAAACAACAACAACAAAACTCTATTTACACAAAAATTTTGTTTAATAAAAAAAATGAATGAAGATGGAAGCCATTCTCACATCCACCGTTTCCAAAAATGACGTAGTAGTACTTGCACTCGACGCCAGCGCTTTTTAGGATGATAGCCTTTAGATTGAACTGAGTCAGGTACGAATAGTCCACCAACTTGCCAAATCAAAAAATGATTTGGAGTTAATGGAATATCATCTTTTATATTGGCACTCTGATACGTTAGTGGGCGAGAATTCAATAAACTTTCAGCACCTGTAAATGCCGTACAGAGTTCTTCATCTGTAATATCGGCTTTTTCGAGTATCCTAGTCACTGCACGTTTGACAGCCTCGATCATTTTTCAAATACACCGACAAGATGAGGCCCTAGCGGAGCATTAAAGTGCCACTTGATTTCTTTATCAGCTGTAGAGTTAGTAATTTTTTCTTTATCTAAGTCGTTGACAACTTCGTTTAGTTCTCGACATCCTCCAACAAAATTTGTTCTACTGTCCGTTAAAACTTCTAATGGTAATCTTCATCTATTTACCATTCGATAAAAGACATTGAGGAATGAATTTGTATCTAGATTATAAACCATCTCAAGATGTACTGCTCGTGATAGTAAACAGGTAAACAAACACAAGTATCTCTTTTGTCGTATCTTCCCTCTACCTTGCATAGTAAGAAATGGACCACCAAAATTGATACCAATTCTAGCAAACGAACGTCGTGGTTCTTTAAAGTGCATTGCTGGTAATGGGGTCATCAGCTGTTGAGCAGGTTTAAATCTTTTTAATTTACATTTGTTGCATTTTGCTTCTGCATCTCGGATTTCTTTTCGTCCTCGTATTACCCAATATTGTTCTGATAATTTTGTTAATAATTGATTTGTTCCCATCACATGATTGGCTTTTTCATGGTAATGTTTAACAATCAATATCGTTATTGTATGTTCTCTTATCAAAATGATTGGATGCTTAACATCGTAGGGTAAGTAATGGGCATTTTGCAATTGACTACAAGATTGCAATAATCCGTCTTCGTCAATTTGCAGATTTAAACAAGTTATTTTGCTTGATGTCGATATCGGTTTTCCTTTTTCAATGTTGCTATATTTTTCTTTAAAGCTTTCTTTTTGAGCTTTAGCTATGATTTTTTTTTCGCTCTCATGATATTCATCAGCTGCTATATCACCCTTTTTACAAAAGTCCGTTTCAAATTGACAATTTCCTATGAACCGATGGATCCAGCCGTTTATCCTGACAAGTTTTTTCCAACATGAGAACTTGTTTATATCAAGCAATTGCTTTGTTACTTCAGTGGATGATAAAAAATTCATTAATACTAGATTTTTATTTACTTCAATTGAAACCTTTTGCGTGACTTCAATGTAATTCTGTGGCCATTTTTTTTCTGAAGAATTAAAGAAACCTGGTCCATGTCACCATACATTATTACTTTCTAATTCTTTAACTGTTGTTACTCTTGTTAGTAAATCAGCTACATTAGTTTTTGTTGGTGTGTATCTCCATTGTTTTAGTTCAGTCTTTAATTGAATGAATCCAACGCGGTTGGCAAAAAATGGTTTCAACTTTCGACTTTGATTTTTTATCCACCATGAAACATTAAGACTATCACACCATATAGTTACGTCCCTAGTTTCCAGCTTCAATACTTTGACAATCTTCTCTGCAAGTCGTTAACCGAGGACAGCTCCAAGTAACTCAAGTCTTGGTATACTAATAGATTGCAATGGACTTACTCGGGCTTTTGACATTATGATCACACAGGTCACTTCTCCTATATTAAATTAACATTGTTGATAAGTAACAGCACCGTAAGCTTTACGAGATTCATCCGTAAAAACGTGGATTGACCTATTTGTAACTGATGAAGTTGTTTGTAAACATCTGGGAATGTTTATTTTTGGGAGATCGTTTAGTTCATGAAACCATTGATCAACGTTATTTGCAACCCTATCCGGAATTACATCATCCCACCCAAATCCATCAATCAACAATTTTTGCATAATTATTTTGATTTGAATAATATATAGTGCTAAAAAACAAAATGGATTGAACAACGTTGCCATTTTTTTGAGCAAAATTTTTTTGAGCCATAAAAGCTGAGTGCTGAGTTGATTCCAAATACCAGTTAATTAAATTAAATTGAAAAACGTTAGACTCGGCAGTTGGATCTAGGTTTCTCCATAAGATTCGTTGGTACCTTTGGTCATCTTTATGTATTCCAATTTTTAAATACATTTCGGCTATATCACAAGCTAAATCCACTGGGTATTTTTGAAATCTCAGCAAAACAGTCACAAGGTCTTGTTGAAGTTTTCGACCTTGATAAATAACATCATTAATTGATTTATCATTATATTTTGCAGATCCATCACAAAACGGTTCTGATTTTTGTAGTTGATTTATCAGGACGAAGAATTGGAAAATGTGGTAAGTACCAACCATCTCCAAGATCTCTATTATTGATTTTCTCCAAGTATTCCTTTTCTTGATGCTGCTTAATAATATTATTGTACTCTTTTTCAAGACTTTTATTTTTTATTAGGCGTTTTTCCGTGTTTTGTAATCTGTTTAACGCCATTGCATAATTATTGTCCAAATGTCTATTACCTTTCCATGGTAATTTTATCCCATATCTTTCGTTCTAAATTTTTAGCGAATTAGTTACTATATTAAGGGTGGTAGAGTCTTCTGGGCTTGTTATTGTTTTTCTGGATTGCATCTCTTCGTCGCCTTTAATTTTCCATAGTTTTTTAATGGTGTTGTTTGCATCTTCTATTTCCTTTGTACTAGATGTTATTTTCGTAAAATGGGTTTGAAGGGATCCACCAGTACCACCAACACATGTCTATCCGAGCGGCGTGAGTCGAGCCACTGGTTCATTTAATTCTCCTTTTACTTCCTTAATTGCACAGTGCAGCTCAGCGTAATCCATACTGATTAGAATGTTAATTTTTGGTTTTGGTCTAATAATTGGGAATTCGATTTTTCTTTCCAACTTTTTGACAAATTCGCCCAATTAAATGCTTTTAAGTTTTCAGTTACATTATTAACTGTAAAAGCTTCCACTGTAATTATTGCTTCTCCATTTAACGATTCCAACTGAAATTCTACCGGCATTGTTTCAAAAGAATCAATTTTTCCAATTATCATGTTTGCAGTTACCTTTTCGGTTTTACCTTGCAGTGACTACTCAGTCGCTACACCAGAGTTCAAATATGTCTTGGTACTTCCATCGTCAAACAATGCAATATTTTCTTAGCTGTTTCCCATCTTTCTTTAATATTTTGATTTAGAAACGTTGAACACTTTCATATTTTATGATCGTTTTTGCAAACAGAACATTTATGTATCCAATATATTTTCTTTTTTTGATCACTGTTACCAAAGTAAGAATTTCCTTCGTGTTCTTTGCTACCAATAGTTTTTTTTAAATCATGTTTTTGTTGCTGCATTTTGAAAATCTACTTCTTCAACAATAAAATTTTTTAGACTTTCAACATTTTCATAAAATTTGTTTTCATACATCGTTTGTATCTAATTAACATTATTTCAGGAACATTTTTTTGCTATTGATGGTACAACGCCATATTTCTCTCAAGTCTTTCTTTCGCAGCTTCATAAGCGAATGACAAAAGTCCTTCAATTACTTTTAATGCGTCTCCACATAAATTTTGACGTAACTTAAGTAATTTATACTCAGATGTTGCTGGGGCTTGATCAAAACATGCGTATAATGAAACTTTTCAACTTTCATAGTTCCTTTTATCGCCATTAAACATTGGTATAGAGACACGTTTTAGTTGTTTCCATAAATCATGTCCAATTTTTGCAGTCTTTTGATCCAAATCAATTTTTTCATTTTTCATTTTACGCATGGTATTCGTTGATTTGATTGGTTCAATTTCGCTGCTGCCATTTTCTTCTCTATTAACTTCATACTGGTCATTATTTTTTTGAGTACTTAACCATTGATAACATTGCTTTTTTGTTTTCATTTTAAGTTCTTTTTCCATCCTTTGATGTTTTAAACTTGATTTTATACTTCCATTGCGCAATATCTATTCGTTTACATGTTCCATAATTTCCGCAAATTCGTCGTTTAGTTTTTCAATTTCTTCATTGAGTTTTCCTACATTTAATTTTGATTCCAGGAGTTCGTATTTCTTTGATAATTCAACCATTATCTCTAGAGTTTCGTTTGGAGTCTTTGTTAATTTATTACTCAACTCGCGTAACTCGGTTTTACAAGTGGGTTCATCGTCTCGAAGTTGCTGAATAATTTGGTGTTTAGTTCGCGTGAACGAAAACTTTAGAACTATTTTCTTCATGTTCAATGCAGATACTTCATTTTGAACGGTTAATTGATATTCCATTTGGTTATTTGATTTTTGATTTTTTCTTTTTACCATTCTTCCGTGTTGAAGAAACTACCTTCTGCTACCAATTATGATCAGATGGTGATCACAAATAATACCGAATATGTATTATAACTTGGATTTTTAAGATCTTAACCGTTTTTACATTAACTATATCACTTATATTCTTTATATTTTTGTATCTGAAAAACAACAACAACAAAACTCTATTTATACAAAAATTTTGTTTAATAACAAAAAAACACTCTTGTTTAAATAGTCGCCATATAATTGTTATTTAGTTCTTTGTGGCGGGGTAGTTTAGATGGTTAGAGTGTAAAAGGAAAAGTTAAAACCCGGACTGTTGAACGATACGAATTCAAATCCCGTCACCGCCAACTCAGCGCTTGAGTAGTACTTCGTACGCAAAAATGTTGGTCAATAACGGACGCTACTTTGGATTAGTCTTGATGACTATTTGAGCTGTTCCCATGCTAAGCCAACAATATCTTCGGATAAAAGAACATTGTATAGAAAAATATAGCATGAAAAACTCAAATAAATAAATAAATAAAATAAAAAATAGTTCATTATAGCCATATTGGCGCTATTTACTGGTTATATCGATCTTGGTATCGGAATGCTGTTTTTCTTTTATGCTAATTCAGTTTTTTTCCAATCAGACACGTTCCGTCGTTTTCTTTTTATCAAAGCATTGGGGAGGAAAAATCCAAACAGATGGTAAGGCTCTTGCGCTTATGGGCTACCACATCAGAGCCAGACGTAAGACCTACAGAATGGATTTCAATTGATCGAATGCACACATTAGTCACCGTAGGCCACAAGCCATCACTCTTAACCAAAAAAGCTACTGCCCCGTGCTGGTGTGGAATGATGTGCTATGAAGTGAGATTTCAGATCCGAGCACATAGTCAGCGAGCGCTGATCCTACGTGCATTGTGGAGCTTCCGACTGAACGTGTGCGTGAGTGTCAGCGTAGTCATTAGGTTATTGAGCGCCGTAACCACATCCAGCGGGATAGCCTAATGTCTGTATGTTTTACCAACTCTCCTTTTGCTCCCGCAAAGTCTCTTAACCAAGTTGAAACAGGTCATTTGAGCAAGACTCGTAGCTTCGGTTAGGAAAGGTTAGGATATTGTTTGATGAATAACAATAACTAACCGGGTATTGCAGACTTCAATTCCTTCCATATTCGTGGATACTTCTTACGATTTCTTTCCACATATTCAAAGGCTAAACGACTTTTAGCTTTCGGTGTTAAACCATGAAACATTGCTTAGCATTTAACTAAATATAGCTAACGAAGCTTTCATAAACAGAGAAAAATTTTGACTTTTCTTGAAATTAATTGTTGCATCAAAAGTTACTAAAATTATTATTCTAATTTTTTTGATATGGTTGAAGAGTCTTAATTTGCTAAACACCGTGTTTAGCAGTACTCTTTCTGATGCTTAAATCATTTGTTTAAAACTTTTACGGCTACCCTAAACCTTTCAGGCGAAAATTTACGCATGGTTTTTCTTATATAGCTACTGTTAATTTTTTGATTAGCTGTGATACAACATAAGTGTTTTTTTTTGATTAGCTGTAATACAACATAAGCTTTTGATTAGCTGTGATACAACATAAGTGTTCTTTTTTTTTTTACTCTAGTAGGGTAAAGTGACCAAATTCGAGCCAGTGACCAAATTCCAGCCAAATTTTAAATTTATTATTTCTGTCTTGGTTTCTGCTTTATGTTTGTAAATGCGACTTTTTTGAGACTGGTATGAACTCAGCCAAGAAAAAGAAAACATTATTTCAGCTGGCGTGTGTTTATAATAGAAGTAACATCATAACAAATATTTATCTCAAAAAAGTACTACTTTAGATTTAAAATATCACGTAAGCATCTAGTTTGAAGCTTATAAACATTAAATATTTATTACTTAAAA